TGTCACCCCCCTAAATGGTGTCACCCGCTGCGGTCCGCACTCCCCGCCCCCCCCCCCCACCCCCACCCCTTTCACCCCCGCTACGCCTCTGCTTCAAGTCAAATGGATCCTGTTAGCTAGGCTTGGAAATGGTTGATTATTCTTGGGAGACGATGCAAAGACATACAGAGAATAGACGGTCCAGGCTGTTGCTACCCCAACAAGGGAGGCTGCAGTTAGAAACAATGGCTTGTTTTTTGGTAATTTTTTGCCAGACCAGATGGCCTTCATCTTGTATAAACAAGGCTTGTTCCTCCATAAAATTGTTGTATGCTCAAGTGTTGGGAATGGCATATTTCCCAGGGCCTACTTTTTTCAGTGGCTCAGCAAGAGGTGAAAAACGTCCGGCAACAATTCTACCCAACATTTTCTAGTTATCCTTGATGCAGAGGCGTAGCGAGGGGGGGGACACATGTCTCCGGGCGCCGACTTTAGAGGGCGCCAAAAGGGTTTGGAATGATAAATTGAAAGGTTGAGGGGTGAGGGTGCAAAACAAAAGTTTGAGGGGGGGGGGGTGCAAATGGAAATCTTGATTGGGGTGCACATCGAAAGTTTGAGGAGGGGGTGCACATCGAAAGTTTGAGGAGGGGGTGCACATCGAAAGTTTGAGGAGGGGGTGCAAATCGAAAGCTTGTCTCCGTCATTTCTGGATGTATGAATGTATGAATGGATGGATGTGTGTCCGCAGCTTTAAGTCGTATCTCCTCCTCAACGAAGCAATATCGATGACTAGTTCCAAAAGCTGTTATGTTAAGCAAGTTACGAGGATGAACATAGGCTATAAAATTCCGGGTTTCTTTCATGGATTTCCTGGAAAAGCCAAAAAACCTCGAAAAAATGCAGTTTTTGGCCCATATCTCGGCAACCAGACCACTTAGCGACTTGAAACATGTACCAATCGATTCCCGCCATAATTTAGAACAATATTGCCGAAGAAAGTTTTCAAAAATATCCTTTCGTTCGGTCACAAATTTTTTTTTTAATTAATCAAAATTTGAACCGAATTAGTAGGCATTTTTTCCAACCACACCACACGCGTCATCAAGTTCAATAGCTGCACCATCACGTTCTATGGCTTCGTCATCACGTTCAGTAGCTAGGTGCGCAATGGTTTTTAGTCATGTAACTCTATTGTAAATAAAACATGTAAAATACTGAAATTTTTTTAAAATAAAAAACGTTTTAATAACTAACCAATGGTTTTACTAACCCTGCTCTTGATTTACGCTACGACAGAGCTATTTTTAGATAACATAAGGAAATTGCGCTAAAATTGTCACTAGACTTTTTAATTAACTTGTTTTTAAATTATTTTTTAATGTTACATTTGTTTTATTCTATAAACTTTGTAATGTATGTGCATATAGAGCTAAGAATTTGTGACCAGACATCAGAAAACTGTCTACCATCAGCAAATTGATGCAAACCATTTTTTTTTCTACTGTGCTGCTCGATATCATTCAGCGATTAAACTTAAAAGGTGCTAAAACCTCTTTGAATACAGCGGTCTCTGTGGTTCATTGAATTTGGCCCCATAAAATTGTATTTTGGTAACAATAACTTTCCTTTCTGTGACGTACAGGCCCACGAGAGCTTCGGCACCCAGTTTTTCTTCCAGACTTTTTTCTCCGGGGGGGAGGGGGGGGGGCTCTTGAAATTTTCGGGGGGGGGGGGGCGGTAAACTTTTTTCGGGGGGGGGGGGGGGCGGACACTGTTAAAAGTATATATTTTCTATATAAATTATATAAATTTCATTCCGTTCGGGGGGGGGGGGGGGTCGGTAAAAAAATTTCGGGGAGGGGGGGGGCTTCGTCCCCCCCGAAGAGATGCCTGGAAGAAGCTCTGTCGGCACCAGCGTAAACTGCTGCTGATGGCCCCCATGTTATAGAGAGAGGCGAATCTAGAGAGTCTCGACTTCTCTTTTCGAAACAATTTTTGTTTGTGCTTAGGGCCTAAGTTTAAACAGTCTGATTATTTTCATGTCATCCAAAACCATTTTTTTTCCGCCTCTGACATGTAATTTACAGCGTCAGTTTGCCTTGCATGTTCGCTTTAGTAATACAGTTTTCATCATGGGCGTGTGACTACTTGTGAGGACTGATACAGATTTACAATAGTAATTTTTCTTTCTTACTTGTAACCTACTTTCATTCATTTAAGATGGTTTACTTATATATAGATCTAATACAAAACGTCAAAGTATAAAAAAATGAAAAATAAAAACAACCTGAAAATGCAAATGTGTAATTAAATGATGATTTAAGGGATTCTTTTTTCCATCGGCGTGGTGGGCTGAAGGGGGGGGGGGAATTTGCGTTTTTAAGTATACCTGAAATAAATTGAGGATTACAGAGATTTAAAATGATACAAATTTTAAGCAACCGGAAAAGTTATGTTATTACAATGAGACACATCAAATCAAACATTCTCCCCTTTCAAATCTGTATCTAAAGCAGTCCTCCAACAGTTGTTTATATTGGTTTTTTTTAATTTAATTTTTTTAAACATTTCATTAAAATAAATTAATAATTTATTTGTTTTACACGGCATCAAAGACATGAACACAAATTGCATATATAATAATTAAATGGAAAAAATAAAATGGCCTAAGAACTAGACTAAATTAAGTTGTGCAAACTCGGTTTCTCTTGTCTGCTTAGTTTACTGTGCTCCGTCCTTAGCTGCGGAGTCAAAAGTTCACATTTCTTTCTTTTTTTTTTTTTTTAAATTCAATTGTTTTAAACATTTAAATCAGTAATAATAACTTGTTTGATAGTTTTACACAGCATCAAAGACATGAACATCAATTGCATAAATAATAATCAAAGGGAGAAAATAAAATGGCATAAGAACTAGACTAAAATAAGGTGTGCAAACTAGGTTTCTCTCGACTGCTTAGTTTACTGTGCTCCGTCCTTAGCTGCGGAGTCAAAAGTTCACATTGTAGCCACCCATGGGCAGAAATAGAAACGAACGTGGGAGAAGTATCTCTGTAATACTCATACTGATCTATCATTCCAAAAATTTCCATGACATAAAATTTAACCTTGGCTATGAAGGCACGCTACCTTGAAATATCCGCCTGTCCCGTTGGGTGGGTGGGGGGAGGGGAAGTGTGTGTGTGTGGGGGGGGAGGGGTTAGGTGTGTATCCCTTTCTACCATTCAGGTTGTGCACTTTTAATTTTTTTTTTATACTTAATTTAAAATTCACCGGAAACCAAATTACTAAAGAGTGATCATCAAGTCTTCAAAGTTTTTGAGCGAGTTTATTCTAAAATTTTGTTAAGATCACGGGTTCTTTGCTTTAAAATAGTAATTGTAAAATATGAGCGTAATCAAAACTAGCAATATTGAATTTTTTAATTTAAAAACATTTATTTTTAAATGTAATAACTTATTATATTTTTTAAAAATTCAAATGTATATGTCTCATTTGTGGTATAAGCTTTATGTATTGTAACAGTAGCTTTTCTCCCTTGCTATTCTGAATTGATATATTACATGGGAAGTAACTTGCAGATTCTAGTTTAAATACAACTATATTTAAATGTTTAAAAATGTTTTTAAAAAACCGCGAAAAACAAGCTTTTAAGTAATAATGCACTATCAAGGAGAATAAAGTATTTTCTTTAAATATATAATAATAAACTACATTTTAAATAGCTAGAATGAAAAAAATAATTAGTTTTTGTTATTACATATTTAAAGAAAATACTTTATTTTTCTCTTTTTTAATGCGTAGATATAGAGCAGCCGAGCTTTTGACAATGAAATCATTCACAAGATAGCGCTGATAAAAACTCGAATGTGTGAATGGCGTGCGGTGGTCTAGCTTGCTCAGCTACTATTTATAACTGTTATTACCACTGTAATGATGCTGTGTATGGTTAGCGTGTTTACATATTGATTTAAATGATGCAGTTTTTGCTTACACTTACATATTAATTTGAGATAAGTCTGGAATTTGAGATAAGTCTGGCATTGCCTTTTTGTCGTGGATACGCATTCAACAATTATTTATTTATTTTAGAAATGTTTTAAATAGCTTATACTAATATTTTCCCAAAATAAATATGGTTTGCAATGGGTTTAAACTTGCAAGAAATAAAACAATTCAAAATTTAAACTAAATGACGTGTTAGATTCGGAATTTTTTTGTACTGTAAATAGGTGCTGGAAAGGTGTAGCCCTAGAACTATATTCATTTAATTATATATATATATATATATATAATTATATATATATATATATATATATATATATATATATATATATATATATATATATACATATATATATATATAATTTTATATATATATATATATATATATATATATATATATATATATATATATATATATATATATATATATATATATATATATATATATATATATATATATATATATATACATATATATGTATATATATATATATATATATATAGGGGTATTTATATATGGTACAAATTAATTGAATTATAATTCATCGTTTTAGATATTAAAGGAACATTATATCAATTCAAAAACGACTTTCTAAATTAAAGAGACCATTTAAATAAAATTATTTTGAATTTAATTTCATAGTTTTCGTATATTGATATTAATCTTTAACACAAGCAACGCCCTTGCAACGTTATTAAAATTTAACATTTTGTAAAATAAACAATTCTGGTTAATATCATACTTTCTAAAACTGTGAAAAGCCAATGTTTTACGTTATTTAAATGTGAACTACGTAGGCTAATTAAAGTTAGTATCTGTTCTACTGAATATAGAAGAAAGGGAAAAAATAAATGTTTTGCTAATTGGTCCGGCTTTTTTTTAAATCACGCAATATGCGTGTACGTATAGAAATAAATTCTGGAACTATAATTCTTAACATAATCTAGATATGGATCTCGTATTTCTTTTTTGCAGACAATATACTCATTTTGGGCAAAAAACTGAACGATTTGACATCTTTTTAAATAAAACAATAATTTACTTTAATCCAAAAACCTGTTAAATATAAGATAATTTTAGTATAATAATCATATGTTGGACATGGATATTTAATTAGTGCTGCGATGGTTGTTAGGAAGATAGTGTGACTATTGTTGGCACTGGAATGGTTGTGTGGTGATAGTGGTTGTGATGGTTGTGTGGTGATGGTGGTTGTGATGGTTGTGTTGCGATGGTGGTTGTGATGGTTGTGTGGTGATGGTGGTTGTGATGGTTGTGTGGTGAGGGTGGCTGTGATGGTTGTGTGGTGAGGGTGGTTGTGATGGTTGTGTGGTGATGGTGGTTGTGATGATTTTGTGGTGATGGTGATTGTGATGGTTGTGTGGATATTGTTGTCACTGGAATGGTTTTGTGGTGAGGGTGGTTGTGATGGTTGTGTGGTGATCGTATCGGTAACTTCGTTTGGCAGTGGTTGTGGGGAATATAATACAGCGGTAGCGTTTGTAATTGATATGGTGGTGTGACAATGGTAATTTCAATGGCCATGTGGTGATTGTAGCTAGGGTGGTCATGAATGGCTTTGGTTACAAATCAAATTTTTGTAGAAAAGAAAAAGCATACATACGATATCTTAAGAACCTACTGAGAAAAATATTTTCTCTTGACAAATAGTAACTACCAATTTAAATTCTCGATCAATTTAAATAGTAGTCAGAGCTGGGCTTTGGGCAGAGGCGTAGCGAGGGGGGTGGGGAAAATATGTCCCCGGGCGCCGACCTTTGGGGACGCCAAATTGGGTTGGAAAAATAAATTGAAAGGTTGAGGGGGGTGCAAATCGAAATCTTGAGGTGGGGTATGCAAATCGAAAGTTTGTCCCCGGGCGCCGGGAAGGGTCGCTACGCCTCTGGCTTTGTGGGAGGGGGGGGGGCGACGATAGCAGCTTAACGAATTTTTTTTTGAAACAACACGACTTTAAAAAAACTAGTAACATTTGTACTAGTAACATTACCTTTTAACAACGAAACAAAATAATTATTTTAAATTCGTCTTTTGAAAATAGGAAATTTTTATTGTTGGATAAGATATGTCTACTAGATATGTCTACTTGACATGTCTACTATGATACGTCTACTAGATATGTCTACTAGATATGTCTACTTGATATGTCTACTAGATATGTCTACTTGATATGTCTACTAGATATGTCTACTAGATATGTCTACTTGATATGTCTACTAGATATGTCTACTATGATACGTCTACTAGATACGTCTACTAGATATGTCTTCTATATATGTCTACTAGATATGTCTACTAGATACGTCTACTAGATATGTTTTCTATATATGTCTACTAGATATGTCTTCTGTGATATGTCTACTAGATATGTCTACTATGATACGTCTACTAGATATGTCTACTATGATACGTCTACTAGATATGTCTACTTGATACGTCTACTAGATATGTCTACTAGATATGTCTACTAGATATGTCTACTAGATATGACTACTAGATATGTCTACTATGATATGTCTACTAGATATGTCTACTATGATACGTCTACTTGATATGTCTACTAGATATGTCTACTAGATATGTCTACTATGATATGTCTACTAGATATGTCTACTATGATACGTCTACTAGATATGTCTACTAGATATGTCTACTAGATATGTCTACTATGATATGTCTACTAGATATGTCTACTATGATACGTCTACTAGATATGTCTACTAGATAGGTCTACTAGATATGTCTACTATGATACGTCTACTAGATACATCTACTAGATATGTCTTCTATATATGTCTACTAGATATGTCTACTATGATACGTCTACTAGATACGTCTACTAGATATGTCTTCTATATATGTCTACTAGATATGTCTACTATGATACGTCTACTAGATATGTCTTCTGTGATACGTCTACTTGATATGTCTACTATGTTACGTCTACTAGATATGTCTACTATAATATGTCTATTTGTTATGTCAACTGTGATGCTCTAGTTCCATCCGTTGGCCATGAGCCACTTGGCCCTTGCGATGACGTCATTGCTGTAGTCGTGGCCCGTGGTTCCGGCATCTACGTTAGCCCATGACGTCACCCTGCTCACCCCACCGTTGTAGCCGGCCACGGCACCTGAGGAAAAAAATGTCATAATGTGTCATATGTCATATGTCACATGTCATATGTCATATGTCATGTGTCATGTGTCATGTGTCATATGGCATGTGTCATGTGTCATGTGTTATGTGTTATGTGTTATGTGTTATGTGTCATGTGTCATGTGTCATATGTCATATGTACAGACAAAAAAAAACGTTCGAAATTTTAGAAGGATGTTGATGAAATAAATGTAGGCACAATTTAAGTAGTATTTTCTTAGCTTTATGCTGATAAATGAAAAAAAAAGTTGATTTTACAAAAAAAAGTTTTACTATCATTTGAAAATAAATTTCAATTAGTAGGCCTAATTAAAATGTATCTAGTTAAAATTACTTGTAAAATTTTATGAGACAATAACTATTTATTTATTCCTATGTCTTAGATCTATCAATAATAACATATAATATTTGAGAGATTGTTAAAATGTCTTACCTTGAAGAGCCTGGTCGATGCTCCAGCTTGGAAATTTATTATGGACCTGAAATATGGAAAGAAATCTTGATGGATAAACAGTGAAGAATAGTTTAAGTATACATATTAATGTTCTGGATTTTGTTTTCCAATTTTCGGATTGTTTGAAAAAATCGGTTCACACAAAGCTGGTATATTTTCTGTGTGTAAAGCTATGTAGACACAACGTTGACAGTTTTTTTACATATATCAATAATACACTTATATATAAACATCATACTTTCAACACATACACATTACACACACACACACACACCTGGTTGGAGTAAGGCATCTTCAGCCTAGTGACGAAAATAGCAATATCCACTCACACAATCACACAATCACACACTCACACAATCACACACTCACACATTCACCCGGCTAACGTTGGGCAACATCAGTCTGTTGGCCAAAAACACACAACCAGCACACACACACAAACAAATCACACACACACACAAATCACACACACTCACCATGATTGACATAGAGCACCAAAAGTCTGTTGACCAAAATTCACACACACACACATCACACACACACACACACACATATCACACACACACACAAATAACACACACAAATCACACACACACACAAACAAATCACACACAAACAAAGCACACACACTCACCTGGTTGACATAGGGTATTAAACAGCTGTTGAACAAATGCACACAATCAACACACACACACACACATCACACGCACACCACACACACACTCACCTGGTTGTCATAGGGCACCAAAAACCTGTTGACCAAATCACACACACACACACATCACACACACATCACACACATCGCACGCACATCACACACACATACACACATCACACACACTCACCTGGTTGACATAGGGCACCAACAGCCTGTTGACCAGCATCTCGATGTGTGCACAACTGTCCCATGGCACCGACGTACACGGTAGACCCGAGTTGGCGATGTCACACTGTTAAAGGAAAGTTGGATGTCAATGTCACACTGTCAAATCAATGGGAAGTTGGATGTCATGTCACACTGTCAAATCAATGGGAAGTTGGATGTCATGTCACACTGTCAAATCAATGGGAAGTTGGATGTCGTGTCAGACTGTCAAATCAAAGAAAAGTTGGATGTCCAAGTTTTATTTATTAGTCGATATAATTTAGATTCGTGTATAAACATTTCTTTGCTACATTATTCCAACCAGGCATTATAAGTCACGTAAAGTGTGTCACTGATCGCTTCTGCAATTGCAGCCATTCAGTTCATCGATCCGCCGAAGCACTGATTGTTCTTTGTTTAAATATGCGAAAACTAAAATTAGGATTTACGTGCTTTAAACTCTGACGCTATATTAATTCAAATCACATTATATAAGCTCAAATGTGAAAATATCAAACCTGCATAATTCCCCAGGCGTGGCCAAAGTCACCATAACCACCGGTCGCAACAAGGAGGGTTCCGCCCCTGGACTCTCTGCTGGCGATGGCGGCGATCACTGAAGCCTGAATACCTAATAAGTTTTGTAAAATTTAAATGAGACGCAAAACAAAAATCATATGTATGTACATTTTTAAAGTGGTAAATATATTTATTTTTTGCAAAATGTAAACGTATTTTCGATCTGAGTTTCGGCTAAATCTGGACAACTTTTATAAGGTTCGTACTTCGGAAAGTAAACAGTATGGAGATTACTATTTTTATAAGTCAGATAGTATAAATTTTAAAAATATTGCGAATCCGGAAGTCACGGTTTCTGAATCCAGGTTCGACTCTGTTGGAAATCCTTGAGTAAACCCATCCTTTAAGGGCCGCCAACTCTCGCTAGGGAAGCTATGGTAGCAGGACAAAGTGCTGACCATACTATTCCCTGTATATTGAAATCTTTGTATCAGATGATCTCTACTTCATCTTCCGTATGTTTTGAGCACGAACATAAAAGATGCTAATGTTGAAACTGACGTAACGACTTTTTTTAAAAATTTGACTGCTAGAATGACTTGTTAATATGACTGTTGGAATGACTTACAGTTATGGTCTGCTGACTGCTGGTATGACTTACAGTTATGGTCTGCTGACTGCTGGTAACAGTTCCTATGTTGGTTGAGGGCGGGGACGTCATGCTGGACATCAGCATTAGAGGCTGCCACGCCTGGGTGAGCACCAATTCAAACATTTAAATGTTGTTACATTGTTTCGGTTGACGTACGTACAATAACACGACAGACTAAATGTTATGAAGTCATCAGTATAGTTGGTACTATGGTTTGATGTCGTTAATGACTGCAGTGAGAGGTTATACAGTTGTGTGGTGAACTAGACACGTCAACATTAGATTAATTGATTATTCAAAATAAACACCAACACAGTCTCAGATCATTGTCTTTAATATAATGGATGGTTAATACTTTTGGTCTTGTCTAAAACAGAAGAGAAACTTGGTCATCAATAACGGCCAGACATAGCGGCCAGCCCTACCACACCTTACAACACAAAACACGTCTACAGCCTCCTAAGGATAACATTCGACTGTCCTAATTCATTCTTCCGGCCTAAGTTTCACCCTCTGGAAACATAACCCATGCCTGACTCCGGTAGTCCAGCGAGGGGTGGGGCGCCATAGCCTGCACATAGCTAGGTGGGGCGGGAATGCCTTCCTATCAAATTACGTCATGTCCCAGTTCAGGTGGGGGACGGGTGACGGGGGCGGGGGGGTAAGCCACTAGTAGCATCAACAATACACTAAGTTATAACACTCAACATGTTTTGAATTAGGTTAAGTTAGGTTAGGTTTGCCTGTCATCCCTACTGGGACATAGGCCGCTGACAAGAGCTTTCCAGGCATGTTTTGAGTTGAGATCTTAATGCTCATCAGGAATATCACGTAATTATTTCATTTAAAAATGCAATATATATATATATATATATATATATATATATATATATATATATATATATATATATATATATATATATATATATATATGTATATATGTATATATATGAGATTCGTGAGGTTTTTTAAACTTACCACCATTCGCCTTCCCTGAAGGATGTAGGTGGTTAATGTCACCATGACAAGTTCTAGAGGCTGGGGAGAAGAATCAAGAATGTTAACCGTGAGTACACACACAAACCATCCTATTTAATAACAGATATAAAGTTTACTTTTGGTACTAGTCGCTTTGTCTTTACAGTCTCTAGTAAAGGAACATTAAATCACCAATACCCTGCCGATCTCTCTTACAAAAGAGTGATGCACTATTTTCCTCGGCGTTTTCAGGGATTGTGTACCCAACACAGCACCTTGTTGCTATCACTTCTCCATATTATGTGGTCAAGCGGTAGAGCGCGTGACTCAAGAGAAGTTCCTATTTGAGCTGTTTGGACTCAAGATTGTTTGATGGAGTCTAGCGAGGCCTTAGACTTGAGACTCTCTGGTCACCGCATTCAAGAGCAACTCATTAACTACGTGCTAAATATTTACTTTGTTGATAAGCAACATGTGTATAAAACACTTAGGATAATTTCCAACATTACCTGCATTAGCCTTGATAAAATCTAGCCAGGTCTTTATCTTGAGATTCTCTTGTCATCGCATTCAAGTGCAACTCATTAACTATGTGCTAATTTTTTAGCGCAATTTCCATTCTGGAGAATTGCGTTTATTAACCCGTCATTTCTGGATGTATGAATGTATGAATGAATGGATGGATGTGTGTCCGCAGCTTTAAGTCGTATCTCCTCCTCAACGAAGCAATATCGAGGACTAGTTCCAAAAGCAATTATGTTAAGCAAGTTACGAGGATGAACATAGGCCCAAAAAATTCCGGGTTTCTTTCATGGATTTCCCGGAAAAACCAAAAAACCTCGAAAAAATGCAGTTTTTGGCCCATATCTCGGCAACCAGACCACTTAGCGACTTGAAACATGTACCAATCGATTCCTGCCATAATTTAGAACAATACTGCCGAAGAAAGTTTTCAAAAATATCCTTTTGTTCGGTCACAAATTTTTTTTTGAATTAATTAAAATTTGGACCGAATTAGTAGACATTTTTATCCAACCACACCACACGCGTCATCACGTTCAATGGCTGCGTCATCACGTTCAGTAGCTAGGCGCGCAATGGTTTTTAGTCATGTAACTCTATTGTAAATAAAACATGTATTTTAACCAATGGTTTTACTAACCCTGCTCTTGATTTACGCTACGACAGAGCTATTTTTAGATAACATAAGGAAATTGCGCTAAAATTGTCACTAGACTTTTTAATTACCTTGTTTACTTATTAGATAAGCAACATGCTTATTAAACACTAAGGATTATACAACATTACCTGCATTGGCCACAGCCAGAAAAGCGCCTAAAATAATCAGATGCATGTTAGTTTAATTTTAAGAAACAATACGTAGACTACAGGAGAAAGTACATCGACTTTTATCTATTATTTTCTATATCTAGTTATATATAATATCTACTGTATGTCCGTGACTTTTCTGTAAAAAATAATAAAATAGATAAGCAGCGTTCAAGTTATATATATTTTTTTTCTGTTTAAGATTTAGCTGGTTGCTATTGCGATTTAAAGACACGAATAAACGCAACGATACGTTTATTTTAGCTAACAAACTCTACAAATGGGCCTACGTAAATAAATTGTGTCAAGTTTTTTTCTAAAATTGCCTACTAAGAAACTTGACCTTTTTTTCAACCGATGTTGGTAAATAATGTTTAGTGTCTTAAAAATAATGCTCTTATCTAAAAGGTCATTCTTAAACGGTGGTGTTGACCCCAAGGGCATTAGCATAGTTCATTAGATCAAACTAAATGACCCCGCGTGTAGGCTACGTTATGTTGTTTACTCCGAACGCTATCAACGTAATGTCGCCCATTTTAGTTTTATACTTGTGATACAAACCCTGTAATTCAAATATTTCTTGTAGGCACAGGCGTCGCGAAGCGGGTGTGGGGGGTGCTGACCGCACCGGGTGACACAATTTAGAAGGGTGACATCAAGACAAAGAATTGAAAAATGTATAGAAGAAGAATGCTTTTTGCCATTTTAATTAACGATTAATTAGCGATAAAACGTCGTATTAAGAGGTAATCAAAGATCCCGACACGTAATATATATATATATATATATATATATATATATATATATATATATATATATATATATATATATATATATATATATATATATATATATAACTGATACGTTTTTATTGGGGGGGGGGTGACACCGTTAGGTGCCGCATTGGCTGACACCCGACTTAGCGACGCCACTGCCTGTAGGTCTCTGTCCCTCTCGCTTAAAATTCAAAATCTCGTTAGTCAGGGAGAGAGCAAGTCTGGAACTAGGTTAATAATAATTGTTGTGAACATAATCCACATCGATTTTTAAAAATGGCAGCTATTTGTTTCTAGGCCTCGTTTCAAAATATGTAAATACTAGGAGTACTCCAAATACAACAATTAATTATTTTTTTACTTTAACCACCTAGATGAGAACCATACACAGCAGCTGTTTATTTTTCTCGGGTCGCAACCATACAATTGTAGTTTATCACACGGCTTAACGGTGACCGGGCAACAAGTAAGTGAACACAATTTAAATACACATTTGTATGTGGACGATGACAAGACAACAAGAGGAAAACGCTATTTAAATAAACATATGTATGTTGCACCAAGAAAAACTCGCTTCTTAGAGAAAATACTATGCTCTACAATACTATACTATTACGTTCTACATACACTCACATACGCACGAACACACACATTCAAACATTACCCTCCTGCAATGATCTATTTACCCGAAGTACCTCCCCCCCCCCCCTTACACCCAGTGCCCAATTTACTTATTAGCGAAACAGCCTATAGCTTAGTGTACCTAATTCCTTGCCCACCTCCACCCCTTGTTGATATTATATTCGCAAAATGTATTTCTTTTTAACCGTGTTTATAAAGTACTTTACCTTTACTTGTAAACCTTTGGTGGAGGCCGAGTTGTAAACACCTTATGTCGGCAAACTGCTGTTTAAAAACAATTAATATTTGTCACTGACATATAATCTCATTACTTTTAACGCGCGCCAGATAGATTGGTTTCTTATCTAAGTGCGGTCTTGATGTTGGGAAGACTATGTATATATGATTTCGAGCAAGCGAGAAGCCAAGCATTTTATAAATTGCCCTTGCATTCTATAAAATGCCTGAAATGTCCTGATAGAATACAAATAATCAAATACGCTTCTTTCATCCATAACAGATCTGGCTTTTGGTTTGACGATGCGGGAAGATGCGCGTGAAAGGGTGGAAGGGTGGGGTAGGGGGGGGGGGGGGGTAAATAGGTTAAAAAAAAGCGTGAGGCTTTTGTATAGCTTGTAGCCAAATAACGCTATTTAGTTTGATTTTTATCAAAGATGTGTTGCTAACGTTTCTAATTTTGTTTTTAATTAAAGATCACTTCCCTAATTTTCCTGTTCGTTGTTTTTATGAATCTGTTAAGTATCGTAGGATTTGTTGCTATGAATATTATTTTAGGTATGCCATTTCGGATTCTGTTAACTAAAGCGGCTCTGGCGAAGATCGTTGTGTTGCAATTTTTGTATTTGTTTAGGTATGATTCGATTTTCTCGGTTAGCTTTAGCCAGTTTGCATTGCCCTACATCTTGTCGCCTGTATTGGTTATTCTGTAAACTTTTAGCATGTCCACAAGTGTAATATGTGTATTGCAGTCGTCTTTGTTCACATGACCTTCGATTTGTCATTGTTCATCTTTCCTGATCTTAAAGGTAAAATATACACTACACATAGATGTGTTTTACCTTGCTTTTACCTTGCTTGTGTTTACCAATTTATTCAACCATTATAATGTATCTTGTATTGTCAGCCCTTTATAATGTAGGCCAGGTATTTTATAGATTTATTTTCCTTTTCAGAAATAATATAAATTGACGGCGTGGTAGGGTAGGAGACATATGATTGCATACTCCAAAAGTCTCGAGTTCGGACCCCGGGCAGATTAGACTCATTAAGTTTGGAAAGCAACCTATCTAGGAAAGACAAATCCACAATCAAATAACGTCTGCCTTGCAGATTGTTCTAGGTGTGACAAAAGCTATAGAAGTCTATCCAGAAAGAAACATAGACGACTGGAGTCGGTGCCAAAGGGTCATATTGCACATATAATTTACACGTTCTGCTTAATTCTGTTAGTGGAAAAATCTACTAATAGATTACAAGATGAAGAAGGATGTATTAAGGTTCAAGTTAAATACGTTTCTTAAATCAAGTGAGGTACCAAGAAAGAGAATATCAAGGGACATAATCTCAATATCACACCCCCATCCAAAATATACATACATCATTTTATGTAATCATCCAACATGAAAACACAGCTTATTATCTATTTCGAGCCGGCACGCGGCATAACATACGCCGCTATTTAGTTGTTGTTTTTTCTACTTTTCAGTAATTCATAATTTGTGAATTCGAAAGTACCTATGGTGACAATGAAAATATTTCTTTAAAACACTATAAGTAGCTCGTTAAGGACCATACCCCCCCCCTTCCCCCCCCCCCCCCCCCAACGTTTAAAATAGTTTCAAACTAAATTATCTGCCCCTAATAGCCGTCACTAAACCAGACTCCACGAAGGTAAATATAGCGTGAACCACAGCTCATTAAGACCATGTAAGGGTGGGGATGGTAGGGAGCGCGTTTACAGCTTGTTTTCTAGCGTCTCCCAGAAGAGAATTATATATATAGATATTGTCTAGATTTTTTTTAAAGTTACCATTATCAGCTTGAGAGTAATTAGAGCAAGCTCGCCGTAAACCCATTCCTCTGCACACATAATGAAACAGAAACAATGTGTTGTTCTTTATTAATTTCTTACAGTATTTTATTTTATTGTAATGAAACACAACAAACTTATTTATTATACAACTTGGATGTATTTCTTGCAGTTGGATTGGCGTCAAACTCCCTGTTGATAGGCATATTTTTATTTGAAATATATATAGCATCAGAAGTCGCTACAGATATATATATATATATATATATATATATATATATATATATATATATATATATATATATATATATATATTGTTATGGACCGCTCTCCGATAGCCGCGGAGGGAGCGGACACCCCAGGTTCGTTTGGTATGGTACCGATAGAAGTCACTCTAATGGAATCCTAACAACTTGCCGTGAGCTCGTTAATGCTGTCTAGGGGTAAAACACGACAAATCGAAGAGACTCAACACGACTTAAACTATCAATACCTTTTTAATAAATGTACAAGCTATGACACTAGGTAAGTTCAAAATGTACAGACTCTAAGAGTACAATAAATAAACTCAAAAACTCCAATTTACAGTTTGAGAAAATCACAATATATCACAGCTGTGGCTTAGTATATTATACACCAATAAAGATCATTACTACACACAACTGAATGGCATCATAATTACCACAAAAAACCAAGTTGAGACTTATTGCCTCTACAACAATAGAAATCCAAATAAAGGTCAAACTATCACTGAAGTAATCAAAAAGGTGCAATAATACACCAGAACAAAATAGTAGAAATACTACAACTTGCCACACAATACCTTATACAAAGGTGATAAACATGTCACAAAATTACAATACTGAAAAGTGGCGCCCATAACCACCGGCGCAACTCTCCTGGTCCAAAGGTCAATCTGGCTGCCTTTGAACTTGAAAATCCCGAGATTAAATAGCATTCAATAATAGGGGAAATAACTCAAAAGTCTTACGACTATTGGTTGAGGATCTGTCAAGGATCCTCACGGTCGCAAGACCATTGGTTGAGGTTCTGCCAGGGATTAAAATACAATCACCTGATGTGACGGAGTTCAGTTGACCGATATGAACCGGTGAACTAACAATTCTCCCAAGGACAAATACATAACTCAGGAGACTAAATATAAATAAAGCAAAAAGACCTAAGTAGGTCACAATATATATATATATGATGCATGTATATTTAGTATGCAAGTGAACCAGTGCCGGTTACTTACCTCTATATTACTAAGTGAATTGTTATAATAATGGCGGTAATCACATTCTGCCTCGTGAAGATATTTTAATTAAGACTAAATGCAAAAACACACATGAACGTTAGTGAGCATTTGTTAACATACCTTTTTAACTAACATTTTTCTTCTTGAAGACAGAGACAACTTTGAACATACTTCCCACCTTGAAATATATAAATACACGTTTTAAATAATGTGATTCGATTTTATAGTAGACTTATTTGAATTTTATTTTCAAATATGAATTAAAATATTACACATATTTTATTAGCTTTTAGTTCTATAGTTATTCTCTGATTTAATAATCTGTTAACGGTTTTATTGGACATGTTTTTGCAGATATTGTATACGTTTAACGGAAGTATAAAATAAATATACTGTAAGTATAATTCATTGACTAAAATTATACCTTGAACTTCAATGCTATAACAGCAATTAACTTTGCCTGATGCAGTAAAACAGTTGTTGAAATTTGAACACGTCTTGCTCAGCACGGGTGGCCTGATCTCTTTGGGTTCACAATAATTTGGTGGCCCATCCTCTAGTTTAAGGGCCGGTTCAACTGGGCAATTCACTTTGCTGCTGCATTTACACACTGCTCACGCGTAAGGTAAATCAAAAGAAAACATTATGCGAGACGTATACACATGTACATATACTACAGTTCAAAAATATATATTTGTATAGATATATATAAATAAATAAATAAATAAATAAGTAAATAAATATATATATATATATATATATATATATATATATATATATATATATATATATATATATATATATATATATATATATATATATATATATATGGTGATAATATTGTATTCTTTATTATGTTACCTGAAGTAGCCTTGTTCATGCAGCACTCTGACCTTGACCCCGACCAGAAGCAAGCAGAAGGCTTACAGTCCGAGAGCCCAGAGACTATTGCCGAGCAGTACAAAGGTGTGTTGTAGTTAAAGCCTTTATTCAAGTCCACGTTGATAGTTTGACCGTCGCTAGAGGTGATAGTAGAAAACATCATGAGGGTGGCACCCATCAGAACAACGGCGGTGATAGACATCATGTTTCTCAGACCTCTGCTATATATTACGAATGTGTCTGTACATTTTGCATCGCTGAACTCCATATTTATACATACGTCTATGTTGACTTCCGTGTAGCGCGTTATATGTTTGCATACATTTTCGACCAATGAAATTTCAGATTTTAATTATTACCTTACAACCATGTTTTTCTTCAGTTGAATCTTTGAATGGTAATCTAGACAAACATAATTTTGAATAATTTTGATTATTATCGTTTGATCTTGTCGCCGCACGGTGGTCGAAATACCTTTGATGTCATAACTCGTATTGATAGAAAACGAAAGGAGTATTTTACTATGTTTTACTTTACCATAAACATTAACGTTAAAATAAATTGCTTTTTTCTTGTGTAAACAGAGAAACCACTTCAGCATTGGTCTCCGTGTGCGAAACCTTTCTTAAGGGTTCTTTTTTGTGTGTAAAAGTATAGCCAGGCTGTATTCTGATTTTTTTTTAAATTAAAAATATCGTTTAATCGAATTCAAGCAAGGACGTCTGCTTCGTTCTCTTCAAAAATAATGAGATCCTGTTTCAAATTCGTGATAAATAAGAATATACGAGAGAGTTAAGGGACGTTCAGTCTCACGTTATTCAAATGCCTAAGCCAGGGGTCGGCAACCTGCGGCTCGCGAGCCTCATGCGGATCTTTTGATGTCAAGTTGCGGCTCTCGAGTTCCATGAACAAACAATAATAATTATATTATTTCATTTTCAAAACGGATAAAAAGTATTATACAGAAAAACAACTTTAAACAGAATAAAAACACTCATTAGAGAACACTGTGAATAAGTGGAGTAGAGAGTATACGGACAGCTGACAGCCGCTTGGGCACCAGGCCCAGCCCCACAGTGGTGTAGTGGCCAGCCCCGTGGCGATGGTTTCATGCTTGCCTCAGCCCAAGTGCCGACTTTTTCGAATATCGTTAAATGAGGAAATTTATTGTATACAGAATGCATTTCTCTATGTATTAATTTGACCTCAGTGACGTGTTTTTAGTTACTAGCTTCCTACGGTCGAGCCGGGTACTGGACGGTGGGGTACGAGTTTGCCCTGTGTTTATTGGTGTGCAAGATAAGCCTAATGAGAGCTGAAGACAGAAGCGATAAATACGGTAATCTAACAGATATCCAAGCCAGTTAGTTGGAGTTTACTAATTGTATCACAGCACAGCTAGCTAAAATACTTTAATCTGTTTTGTGCAAAATATTAGTATGTTTTTTTTAATGAATAAATATTCTTTCATATTTAAAGTTGTCAAAAATCAAAAATTTATATACCTAATACCTAATCCTAATCAAATGCCAAAACATTGAAATAAAAAAGTAAAAAAGTAAGAAAGCGGGAAGTTATGTAAATTGTAACTTTGAGCTCTTTCGACTCAAAAGTTGCCGAGCCGTGGCCAAAACCACAGCTCGTACTAGAAAACTAACTGCTAATTGTTTATATATATATATATATATATATATATATATATATATATATATATATATATATATATATTGTTTTTTAAGTTATTTTTTTTTAATTGTATTATACATTTTATACATGACGATTATAGCAGAACCACCAGGCGGATCACCCACACCGCAGCAACCAACGGAATCCACAAAGTCGACGAACCAACAAGCAACTCCAACTACGACTGCAGCGAAGCCACCATCTAAGGGATCAACAACACTTCAAAACACTGCAACAAGAAGCTCAAACTCAGAAACAGAAATAAACGCCACCTCATCAATATAAAGAAAAAATGAGTACAGCCCCACAGAACAAGGAAAAACAACCAAAGAACAAAAACTCGTGGTTTTAAATCTCGACCACACGAACTGTAAATTCTGCCCCACCCAGTTCAAAACAGTCAAGGAAGCAGAAAGTCACAAAAACACAGCATACACAAAATTTAAACAATGAAACATCTGCAACGACAATAAAGTTCACAATGACATAAAAAGGCACTACTATAAAGCTCACAACAATGAAACTGTCTTCCAATGCATCCTTTGCGACGTGACCCTCCCAAATGAGGGCATTAAGATACACACAACTAATCGCCATCCGAAACCCATACCCATGGCGAAGAGTAAGGAAATGAACACTTAATCGATTGCTACTCAACCTCATTTTTAGACGTTTTGTATAAGTTTCATAATAGGAAACATAGAAATGACAAGCAAGGTGTAATTGGTATAACTTTTTTTTTTGTGGTTTAATAGTGTTCCTCTCTTGCTGCTTCCCCAATCGAGCAAGGGTAGGCAGCAAGAGCAGGTTTACATGAGCATATACATACATGAAATTTTATACATATTTAAACAGTTTAATCCGTGCTTGTCGTATTTTCCGTGTCCTTCTGTCTTCTTGTTTCACTTGTTTTCACTTTCGGTTTCTTGGTTTCCTTTAAAATAACATAGAGTACATGACAAAACATGATCGCTTCTCGCAGTTCTTTGGCCTTGCTTCTTGCGTGTATTACAATCTTGTTTGGGCAGCGGTTGATTCTTAGTTGGTAGTATCTAGTTGTGTAGAGTCGTTGTAGTTTGAGAATATCAATGAGGGATGTTGCGTTGGTGAAAGGACGAGTCTTGTGTCAAGTCGTTGATGGTAGAGTTGATCAAATCGAGTAGAGCTTGGAGAGGGTAGTTGAGGTAGTGTCCTCGTGTTGAGATATCGTTTTTCATAGGTTGCCTTGATTTATTGTTCATTGTAGTTTGAGAGAAAGTGAAGTTGTATCGTAGGGAATTATTGCGTAGTCAAGTAGTTGAAGTGGGCGAAATAATGTTAAAGGATGTTTAATTTTCGTGATATTGCTGTGTCGAGGATTGTGGATGAGAAGAATTTGAGAGTGGTCGAGTAGCCGAAAGCTTGGTCGAGTAGTTGAAATGGGCGAAGTGAGGCTGTTGACGAGTGTTTATTTTACGAGATTTGAGTAATCGTGAAGTTGTTTGAGTAATTGGTCTTTGATGGATGTCGAGTTGACTTGATGGTGGTTGTGACGGAGCCTCCCACCTAAGATATCTCCTAGGTGGGTGTCGTCAGGCTGAAAAATAGAAAATTGAAAATTAGCCACTCGTACATTTGAGGCCACCCGATAAAGGTACTGGGTGACTCATCTCGAGGGCATGTGCACTTCGTGGGATGTGTGGGCGCAACCCCGCAGTGAACAATGGCGAGATTTGCATTTGATTGCTTGATGAGTGAGTAGTAGATTTCACCGCCTCTCGACCCAAGCAGCCAGCCCTAAAAAGGGCTGACAAAATAAATGACTAAAATACATGTAGATCAGGGGTCGGCAACCTGCGGCTCGCGAGCCGCTTGCGGCTCTTTTGATATCAAGATGCGGCTCTCCAGCTCCTTGCACAAATACTAATATTACTAATAATCTTAATCAAAAAATAAAATACTTGAATTAAAAAATTGTTAGTGGCTCTTTAACACCAGGGAAATTTTGAAAATTTTAACTTTTGGCTCTTCCGCTTCAAAAGGTTGCCGACCCCTGATGTAGATCCATAACTGATACTACACTTTGTTCTTAGCCAAAAGGCGAAAGATTTACGCGTATGTGAACAGAAACATGCTATTTTTTGTAAATCGACCAAAATTTGACTTATTACCATAAACAATGTGTTATATTAGGTGGATTTTTAATAAACCAAAGCAACTATAAATCATTCTAGTTTGTATATTTTAAGATTATACAAATATTTTAATGATTATCTGATAAATGAAGCAATTGCTGTATTTTAACAAAAAGCACTAAATTTTAAATTACATTTTCAACAAAACAATGAATTGATCTATTGAATATTACATTGTTTTTCCTTTCTTAATTTTTTGACTATATTTAGTTTGAGATTGCTTCCCTTATTAAAAATATTTTAGAATTTTCAAACAGGTAAAAGGGGGGTTAACCATTTATGACGACCTCAGGGGGGGGGGGGGTTCTGTAAACAATTGAGATTTGTGGACGCCCTCGTGAATAATTTAATTTCGAAGTGTTTAAATTTTAAACTAGCCCTAGCCCTAGCCCTAGCCCTAGCCCTAGCCCTAGCCCTAGCCCTAGCCCTAGCCCTAGCCCTAGCCCTAGCCCTAGCCCTAGCCCTAGCCCTAGCCCTAGCCCTAGCCCTAGCCCTAGCCCTAGCCCTAGCCCTAGCCCTAGCCCTAGCCCTAGCCCTAACCCTAGCCCTAGCCCTAGCCCTAGGCCTAACCTAGCCCTAACCTAGCTTTAGCCCTAGCTTTAGCCCTAGCCCTAGCCCTAGCCCTAGCCCTAGCCCTAGCCCTAGCCCTAGCCCTAGCCCTAGCCCTAGCCCTAGCCCTAGCCCTAGCCCTAGCCCTAGCCCTAGCCCTAGCCCTAGCCCTAAATACTAATTCATTTATAAACCGTTAAAATTATATTATAAAACTATTTTAAAATGTATGCTTAATATTCGAAGTTTAAAATAGACTGGACCGCTTTTTTAAAACGGAATTCTTACCTTGAATCATCGTATGGCATGGTATGGTTGGCCCCACAGCTTGATAATTAGAACTTTGTAATTAGAGCCTCCAGATACCAACGACTTTAGTACTGTTGTCCCCTTTATTTGTGAACAGGGATCCAAAAGTTTATCATAAAATCGACATGATTGCCCCATATTATTAGCGAGGGTTGACAAATTAAACAAGTCTACACATAAGTCGATTGTGTTTTTATAATTTTAAATTATAAACTATTTTAATTACAGATTTAAAAAAAACAAATATTTATATTTTAATTACAAACATAATATGTTAATAAAAAATATCAACCAAAATATATCATTATACTTGTGTTGTTTTATTTTCATTTTTTTAGCTGTATTGTTAGTTTGCAATTACAATTGTGGTTGTTTCCCTTTGTATTAATATGTACAATAATTTACTTGCAGAGCATATAACACCAACAAATTATTTTCAATGGAATTATGGTCCGTGTATCGGCTGGCTCGTTTGTTGGGGAACTCGCAGGTTAAATCACAAATTAAAAATAACCTTAAT